TTGCTTAGTCATGTACTTCTGCGAGGACCCACTATGGCTATGTGACTTTACTTGTACTAGGCTCTATATATAAATCTTTTATTTGTATTCCACTGATATTTCCAATTTTCCATAAATTTGGTATTTATAAGACGTCATTGCTTAGTCATGTACTTCTGCGAGGACCCACTATGGCTATGTGACTTTACTTGTACTAGGCTCTATATAAATCTTTTATTTGTATTCCACTGATATTTCCAATTTTCCATGAATTTGGTATTTATAAGACGTCATTGCTTAATTATGTACTTCTACGAGGATCCACTGTGGCTGTGTGACTTTACTTATACTAGGCTCTATGTAAATCTTTGATTTGTATTCCACTGATATTTCCAATTTTCATTGAATTTGTTATGTAGTAGACGTCATTGCTTAATTATGTATTTCTACGAGGACCCACTATGGCTATGTGACTTTACTTGTACTAGGCTCTACATATATTTCCTTTAATTCGTACTTCACTGATATTTCCAATTTTCACTAAATTTGCTATGTATTAGACGTCATTGCTTAATTATGTATTTCCTTCGGAGGGGAAGATTTCAAGTATTTTCTTAGATTTAACCAAGGTGGAAGTTGGTTATTTTCTATGTTAACGCCATACGTCAACATAGTAGAGACTGAGATAGCATACTATGATGTACTGCTACTCCACTTAATTACTGCTTTCTAATTGATAATTAGCGTCTGAAAGCTAGAAATTTAATTGAAGCCTTTGCTAGATTGAAGGTCTTGCATGTTAAGAAAAAGATTTACTAATTTAACTTTCATTACAAAATATGAGTACAGACCATGCAAGCTAGAAGTTTGGCCCTCTGTTTGGGATTCTTTGGGATAACTCTAATTTCATAGTACTTTGCTCATAGAGTTTCTTTTCTTTGAATATCTAACTTTATTTACATAGAAAAGCAAATGATGTTCCACGATCTTGGATTCATTGCATGAAATTGTTACCGAAACATGGGCCAGTTTCTAAAAGTTAGTCTGTTTTTCTTGTAAACTGGGTTGCTTTTCTTCAAAGTCATTCTCTTTCCCTTCCAATTTCAATGCGTTTCATTTGAAACGCCGCCACAGCGCCAACATTTCTGGTATCTTGCCTCAAAAAGAAATTTAAGCATCAGAGTTATTTTTTAGTTTTTAGGCTTGGCCAGATAAATATGCATTGTTACTTGGTAGTGGTATATGATCTTTTTTTGCAAATTCAAGAGAAATATTGAGTTAGCAAGTGGTGTTCTTTTCGATTTTTTTTCAATAACGTTGTAACTTCTCTTAATTCGAACAGCACATTCGATTTTGATCCTTATAACACAGTAGAGAGGCATAGCGAAAAGTAATTGTTAAAAATGATTTTCCAACATTCGCTTTTGATGTCCATGTGTCACCGCACTGTTGAAATGCTATTAAATGTACTGAGAATCCCAATAAGACGCTGCATGTGCAATTAACTCATATTCCGAAATTCTGACAAAAAGCGGATTCTTATCTCGGCGTAAGTCTTATTTAAATGATCGCGCGCAGAAACTCTCTAGTAGCTTATGTTGTGGTAAACGGCGGTAGCATGGTGAGCTGGCAATGGTTTGTGGCCC